CACACACACACACACACACACACACACACACACACACACACACACACACGAAGAAACGCTCACTGAGATGGTTGAGTTTGTGAAGCACTGACCTGCAGATTCAGATTTCTCTCAGGAACTAAAATTATCAACAATAAAATATGTTTTTCTCTCTATTGTTTATAAATTTAAAATGTGCATTTTAATAAAACATTTTGATGTAAATCGTGTTTTTTTTCCAGATGTAGTGGTCACCTYGTGGTGGAATAAACAGTTCCACCTGTCATTGACCTTGATCTCAGAAGACCTCCTTCACAGAGACAGAACTCTGTTCAAGTTAAAGTCATAACATGTTTTCTTAAACAGTAAAGAGACATTTTCTTCTTGTTAATCAGACAATAAGCAGAATAATCTTCTTTTATTCATAATTTTATCAATGTATGAAAAAGAAAACACAAAAAGAATGTTATTACAATGTTTTATTGCTTTTTGATGTAAATCATTGCTTGAACTTTAACTGTGAAACCACAGTAATTGATTATAGATTGTTAAGTTCAAATATTTTACTTAACTCGTGAATTTTCTTATAATTTTCTTATAAGAAGGTGTATGTCATATCCCTACACAGAACAGCATCATGTAACAGATCCTTTGATCTCTGACTCTAAAACTCTACTTAAATCCTTAAAACCCAGCAGTGTCTAAACATGTAATTGGTAGGTCAGATTTTTAAAGATCTGTGATCAGAAATCAGCCAAAAACAGCAATCTGTGCACCTTTACCTGGTAATAATAATAATAAAAAGGTTGTCCACCACCTTTTATGCCAGAGTTTACAAGTAAGAAATAACCAAACACATAACAACACAAAAATAGTCTATTTTTTACCAGAAGCCCCTCTACATGTTTGTGAAAAATTTATGTTTTAGTTTGGAGGGGTTTCAGTGCTTTGTTGAACAGCTAGTCTCATGGTTAGCCACATTTGATAAAGTCTGCATTATACTTATGTCCAATTTAGTTTATTTGTAAGGTTTTCTTCATGTTTTGTCTTTAACTTTTTATTTTAAAAATATTTACATTTCTCTAACTTTTTCTAGGGTCTGGCTAAAGTTCTTCTACACATAATAGAAGTTGTTGAATATCTGAAGGGTGCACTACCACTACTAGTGGTGAGAAAGTGTATTGCAACTCAATCTATTGTAAACCAATGACATCTCACAGACTTCACTGCCCATTGTCCAAAAACAGATTTTTATTCTGAGGCCCTCAAGGTGGCGGTCACAGCCCTGAGGGTCACAGCCCTGCTGCCCTATGGGTCACAGCCCTGCTGCCCTATGGGTCACAGCCCTGAGGGTCACAGCCCTGCTGCCCTATGGGTCACAGCCCTGTGGGTCACAGCCCTGTGGGTCACAGCCCTGCTGCCCTATGGGTCACAGCCCTTAGGGTCACAGCCCTGTGGGTCACAGCCTTGTGGGTCACAGCCCTGAGGGTCGCAGCCTTGTGGGTCACAGCCCTGAGGGTCACAGCCCTGTGGGTCACAGCCCTGAGGGTCACAGCCCTATGGGTCACAGCCCTGAGGGTCACAGCCCTGTGGGTCACAGCCCTATGGGTCACAGCCCTGAGGGTCACAGCCCTGAGGGTCACAGCCCTGTGGGTCACAGCCCTGAGGGTCACAGCCCTGTGGGTCACAGCCCTGAGGGTCACAGCCTTGTGGGTCACAGCCCTGAGGGTCAGCCCTGAGGGTTGCAGCCTTGTGGGTCACTGCCCAAGGGTTAAAAATCTCTGATCTAAAACATTTTTTGCCCACGTTGGTGGCAGGCAATAGTAAGGTTTGGTAAATTACAGCTAACCGTTGAATTAAAAGCCCAACAGTTAAAAGGTGCATAAAGAGCCAGTCTGAAAACCAATACACTTTAGACTAAAGTAATGTTACTCTGCAGCAGACCATGGTGTAATTCCCAACATAAAAGCTGATGAGGTGCTGTGAGTTTTTATGAGGAAACAGGATGAGAAGCAGGCTCATAAAAAGCAGTGGCTCTTATCATACACAGTCTGTGCAACAGAGCCCCAGAGAGACCCTCTGAGGGGGCTACTTACTTGCATTGCTGTCAGCCAGCGTGTTGAGGTTGCCTGAGATGTCTCGCCTCCTGAACAGACACACCACCTTGGCTTCCACGTTCCCATTGGCTGTCTGTAAGTTGAGAATCTCTGGTTAAAATCAGAACAACAGTCAAACATTGATGCCTAGTTGATTACAAATGATGACCAATTTGTTTGTACTCTTGGTAAAAAAAAATTAACAATGGTCACTAAAAAACATCTAATGAAAATATTTTCATTAAATTTTGGTTCAATAGAATTATTTTAAAAAACTTGTCAAACTGACTTCATCCATAACTTAATGTTTAGTTGCACAACCTTTTGATTCAAGCTTTGTGACTTGTTAACGTGCATTTTCGCAAATTCCACTCTTTTTTAAATTTGGTGTCCTCCTCACTCGGTTTCTTTGGCTCCATTCAGTCTCAAACAGGCAGATGCTGCAGTCGGACACTAATGACCCTTGACCTTTGAGTCCACCTCTAAATCTAATCACTTTGGAAGATGTTCTGCTACTTTTCATATTATCTGACTCTTCAGTTTGTCATCAGTTTTCTTGTAGACCCGTCTAGGGAGGTTGTTTCCAGTCCTGCAGACCTCTTGAATAATCTGAGCAGCAGTAGTCAGGGGAACATCCAGCACATACTTTACATGTTGTTATGTTGTTGTACATGTGAAAATTGTGTGACTTTGACATAAACAACAGGTATTTTACATTTTTACGCATTGTTTGCATGTTGTATATGTGTCAAAGTCACACAAAATGTTTATGCATATTTTGCCTGGTGTGCTTTCCATACACACAACAAAAGCGTGTGAGCTCTCAGTAATCTTCTCCCACACTGTGCCCTGACCTGCCAGGGACTTTAGTGTCTATAATGTAACTAAATTAAACTTGAATGTGTTTGGAGTGTTGTTATTTTACAGATATGTGCAACTCGTACATACAACCAAACTCCTGATCCTTAAAGGAGGCAGCCTCTGTATGTAAAAACCTTTGACCTGTATGCAGGGAAAAGCTTTTGAGTGTGTGGTACTGAGTGGTGGGAAACTAATGCTTGGGTGCAGAAAAAAAATTCAGTCCAGATACTTTTTCTGTACAAATCAAAGTTAGATTAATTTCCTTACGTTTACCCCCATGTAAAGTGAATAAATGATTCTGCCTGGTGTTCCTAACAGAACACATAAAACCTGTGATGCATCAGAAGTCCGTATCCCACTGAGTTTTAGTGTTAAGAGTAGTTGGAGACTCAAGATTGTGAGGAAAGTGTTAATTTCTCAGTTTCAGAGTCAATGAATTTTTGAATGTTTGGGATAAAGTGAACAGCAAGATGCACCGCCACAATCTGAGCAGACAATGGGCCTCATGCAAGAACCGTTCATACGCACAGATTTGTTCTTAAGTTGTGCGTACGAGTGATTTAGGAGAATTTTTGGCATTCACCAATGTTTTCGTATTCTAAGATTTTTTTCAGATACGTACAAACAAAATTCACGAGTGGTCCAGACCTGTCGTATATTTTACGAGCAGTCAGTCTGCTGTTATCCAGACAGGTTTTCTTCATTAATAACTTTATATTTCATTAGTTTGAAGATATTTTGAGTTGAAAATAAATCACACTCCATAATTATGTTGACAATAGGCTATTCTGCTTGAACTGGAATTAGATTGTAAATGCAACTAATGACATAAATTGGTTAGATTAAATTAAACTGGCTTTTAATGCTGTTGTTTAACACTTCAATTTTAAGTACCGGTAAGTAAGTAAGTAAGTAA